TTTTTTTTTCTACGAGAAACATTGTTTGCTGCTCTAGACACTGGGGACTTGTTCTCAACAATATGCCTTTGAGTTCCAGCTCTGGTTAACCCAGCTGTGAGAAGGGAGCATTGCTTTTTGTCTCTGGAGTCAGAGCCTCTGATTTTCTTTCCAAGGAGAGTTTGGATGGAGAGCTGGTTTCTTGGGGATGGGTGCTAATTAACAGTCCAGGAAATTGTAAAGTTGGTTGATAGGAACAAAGAGATGGCTATCTCTGAGAGACATTGTTTAAAGGGACTTAGCTGGGAGAGTGTTAGTGGCAAGAGGGTATGTTATCCACCTTGAGCTGGTGGGCCTGGCTCATACCTGATTCGGTGCTTTTCAGCCTGATTGGTCTGGTTCAGTGGTTGAGCGTGGAGCTATGAGCTGGAAAGTCAGGGCACATTATAGGGTCGTGCAGGTTTCTCTCATCATTAATGATTCCATATCTCCCTCTCTTTTCCTCTCTGAAATCGTTAAAAAATATATATATTTTTAAATGCTTTTCGCTGTGAATGGTGTTGGTAGTGAGCATTTTATACCCCTTTGTTGCCTAAAGACTAGAGTTCTCTGAACTCTCAGTGGCTCTCAGACCAGGCCCCTTCCCTTTTTATGCCCGTGGGAATGCAGCAGTCTGTGATGATAAAGCAAATATTGTTCCTGGATTTTTACTCCTTTTAGTAGAGCTTTGCAATATAGTTGGCACTCAGGTTTTTTTTTTTAATATATTTTATTGATTTTTTACAGAGAGGAAGGGAGAGAGATAGAGAGTTAGAAACATCGTCGATGAGAGTCATTGATCAGCTGCCTCTTGCATGCCTCCTACTGGGGATGTGTCTGCAACCAAGGTACATGCCCTTGACCGGAACCGAACCCATGACCTTTCAGTCCTCAGGCTGACGCTTTATCCACTGAGCCAAACTGGTTTCAGCGGCACTCAGTTTTGTGTTATATGAGCAAATAAGTAAAGAGAGGGGCTGTAAACAAAATCCAGGGTGTTGTGTATTTTTTTTTCTTGCTTGAGGATAAGGATGCTTAGATGGCTGCTGCATCTATTCTAGAACTGTTTATTTATTTGAAAGAGATGGAGGAAGGGAGGAGGGGAGAAACAATGATTTGTTGTTTCCACTTATTTATGCATTCATTGGTTGCTTCTTATATATGCCCTGACTGTTGATCGAACCTGCAACCTTGGTGTATTGGGATGGCATTCTAACTAACTGAGCTACCCCATCAGGGTTTAGATCTGTTGATTCTTTTTTTTTTTTAATATATTTATTGATTTTTAACAGAGAGAAAGGGAGAGAGATAGAGAGCCAGAAACGTCGATGAGAGAGAAACATCGACCAGCCACCTCTTGCACACAGTGCCCGCAACCAATGTACATGCCCCTGACCGGAATCGAACCTGGGACCCTTCAGTCCACAGACCGATGCTCTACCACTGAGCCAAACCGGCTTCGGCTAGATCTGTTGATTCTTGCCACAGTATTTAGTGAAGGGAAACTTTTACCTGAGATCAAACCTTAGATTAGGTGTTAATGTTACATTTAATTACTAGGGCCAGAGAAAAGATCTCTTTTGCTTGTTGTAATATTTGGGACATTAGTAAGGATAAAAACAGAGTAATCAGTAATCTTGTGTTTTGTTTTGTTTTTTTAAGTATTGGTCTCTGCTTCAGGGATTTATATTCTGACCCTAAGAAATGTATTAGAAGAGAAGGGAGATAAAAAGAAAGTTGGTTGCTACCTTCTCAGTGAGAGGAAACATACCAAATGGGACTAATCTTTTACTTATTAGTGGCCCGGTGCTCGGATTCATGCAGATTGAAAGGAAAATAATTGGAAGAAATATTTAAAAAACAAAAACAAAAACGTTTTATTCTTTACAGAGAGGAAGGTAGAGGGATAGAGAGTTAAAAACATTGATGAGAGAGAAACATTGATCAGCTGCCTCTCACACACCCCTTCCTGGGGATGTGCCAGCAACCAAGGTACATGCCCTTGATCTGAATCGAACCCAGGACCCTTCAGTCTGCAGACCAACACTCTATCCACTGAACCAAACCAGTTAGGGCTAGAAGATATATTTTAATTTTGATATTCGCCCTTTCTCTATAATAGAAATGCCAACCAAATTCAAACCAGCAATGACAGATCAAAACACACATGCAATTTGGTGCCAGCGAGAGCTTTCAATGTATCATGCATGTGTTGGTCAACTTAGTCTTTTATATATATAGAATAAACTTGCTTAAGTAGATCTGCTTTCTGATGTAGCTAAACTTTTTCCAGCCCAATGAAGCACCCCAACTTCTCTTTCAGATAATTGTGAGCAACACAACAGTAAATATCAACATGAAGCATATTATTATTGTAGATCATATAGGGAGAACAAGGGTAATACGTTTAACTGCAGCAGTGTTTGACTATATTCTGCTCAGTGAGAAAATCTGAAGTCATTTTCAAGGTCCACCATGTTTTTACAGTTGGGTAAAGTTTCTAAACTTTATAGTTCTCCATTTTCTGGCTAATGAAAAGAAAATAGTATTCCACTGAATCTCCTATCTACTTACTCCAGGACTTCTGTGGAGATCAAATGAGATGAGGCATAGGAAAACGCTTCACAGACATTTAAAGTGTGAAATGTTGCCAAAACTGGTTTGGCTCAATGTGGCAGCCTGCGGACTGAAGGGTCCTGGGTTCAATTCTAGTCAAGGGCATGTACCTTGGTTGCTGGCACATCCCCAGTAGGGGGGGTGCAGAAGGCAGCTGATTGATGACTCTCATGGATATTTCTAATTCTCTATCCCTCTCCCTTCCTCTCTGTAAAAAATCAATAAAATATACTTTTTTTAAAAAAGGGAAACTTTAAAAAAATAAAAATAAAAAATAAAGTGTGAAATGTTTGCACCTGGCTATAAAGCAAATTGTGTTCCTGGGCTAAAAAAACTGTAAGGAGGCTAGTCGCCACCAGGGAGAGGAAGCTGGTCATTGCTACATGACATCATTACCCAGACAGTTGGACATTTAGCATATTTTATACATATATATATATATATATATATATATATATATATATATTAATTCTCACTCAAGGGTATTTTTCCCCCCCAGATTTTCAGACAGAATGGAAGGGAGGGAGAAGGGGGGTAGGGGAGAGAGAAACATTGATTGGTTGCCTCCCACATGCTCCTTGACTGGACAAGAGATCAATCCACAACTGAGGTACATGCCCTTAACCAGGAATTGAACCCTGAACCCTGCTTGATATGATCAGGATAACTGCTGAGCCAAAGCAGCCAGGGCTGGGACTAGTGTTTTAGGTCCGAGTAAATATATACACCCAGTTCCTATAATGAGACTCAGGAAGACCACAAAAAAGGGCTCAAGTTCTTAGTGTCTCACCTATGACTGGGTCTGAAAGCAGAAAACCATTTTTGAAAGAAAGGGAAGAATTTATCTCATTTAATTTAATAGAGCTGTTTGACCTAGTTCTGTGAAACAGGTGTTGTTTCCCCAGGTTTTTTAAAATGAGAAGTTTCTCTGGTCTCGTTATTTGGGTGCTCTTTCATGGTCCCTTTTCCTCTAATTATAATAGCTAAATTTAATATAACAGCTAGAAATTTAATAAAGTGTTTTTTCTCTCCTGCCAGTTCTAGTGTTTATGAGATTTCTTTTTTCTCCTCTATAAACAAATAGCTTTCTCCATTACCCCCAACATTTTTTCAAGTATATTTTTATTGATTTCAGAGTGGAAAGGAGAAAGAAACATCATTGATGAGAGAGAATCATTGATCAGCTGCCTCTTGCATGCCCAAACTGGAGATCCAGCCAGCAACCCGGGCATGTGTCCTAACTGGGATCGGACTATGACTTCCTGGTTTATAAGTTGACGCTTAACCACTGAACCATGCCAACTGGGCCTAGATATTCCCCCCCCCCCCAAAAAAAAAAAAAAAAAATTCTCAAAATGTGTATGATTTTGCAATCTAATTGTGTACTATTTTTTTTCATTTTATTCTGATATTTTTCATTTTGATAGTTGCTTAGTATTTCATTCTATTAATGTCATTATTTGGCACTAGTATTCTTCAATTTTTGCTGTTAAAAATATCCCTCAAGCCGAAACCGGTTTGGCTCAGTGGTAGAGCATAGGTCTGCGGACTGAAAGGTCCCAGGTTCGATTCCGGTCAAGGGCATGTACATTGGTTGGTTGGGACACATCCCCAGTAGGGGGTGTGCAAGGGACAGCTGGTTGATGTTTCTTTCTCATCGAGGTTTCTAGCTCTCTATCTCTGTCCCTTCCTCTCTGTAAAAAAATCAATAAAATATATTTTAAAAAAAATATATATATATATATCCCTCAGGCCGAAACCGGTTTGGTTACTGGATAGAGCGTCAGCCTGCGGACTGAAAGGCGCCAGGTTTGATTCCTGTTAAAGGCATGTACCTTGGTTGTGGGCACATCCTCAGTGTGGTGTGTGTAAGAGGCAGCTGATCGATGATTCTCTTTCATTGATGTTTCTAACTCTCTCTTTCTCTCTTATTTTCTTAATATATTTTATTGATTTTTTTTTACAGAGAGGAAGAGATCAATAAAATAATACAATATATTTTATTGAGAAAATCAATAAAATATATTTAAAAAAATATCCCTCAGTTTCTGTGCAGAGCCAAAGGTAGGATATAGTCAAGGAACTTTTAGTGATTCTCCTATAATTTCACTACAGGGAGTAGGAGAATATATATTCATCAGGGTCTTAAAGACTAGCCCCAGTTGCTGCATTTTTCTCTCATTGTTCTTAGGTACTAACTAAAATGCTAGTTCCCCTGTGTATTAAGGAGATGGGTTGTGTGTTTTTTAAAATCTTTGAATCTTGAAGTTTTGCTTCTGCAATGCTTCCTCTTTCTCATTTAGAGAACCTATTTCCTGCTGAGTCTGCAAATAGGAGACCAGAGACACGAGCTTCTGGCCTTATCCATGGAAACTCAGGCTGATCATGCATCTCAGGAACCGCAGTCCCTGCTTGAGAGTGGTATGGAATAGGGGATTCATTTATTCTTTTATTCAATCATTCAATAATCATCTATTGAAATGTCAAGTACTAGGATAATTGTTAGAATCCTAATATGATTAATGTCTGTGGGTTCCTTGTGAAAGATTAAGAAAACTGACAGTCACCAAATTCCATTTTCTAGGGGCTTTGCAGCAGCCAGTAGTGTTTTGGGATTTATAGATCTGAGGGATGGAGTGTTATGTCTTCAGTCAGAGATGGGGTGAAGCTCCTAGTTTTTCTCTGGTCTAAGAGAACATCATGCGATAGTTTGAATTCAGTGATGTGGCAAGTGATGGAAGGGATATGAGCAGGACAGCCTGTGTTTCTGGCCAAGTTTGGGAGAATAGACAAAAATACATCCATCACTAATTATAGGACGGCAATTTTCACTGAGAATAGAGTGACCGGAGAGAAAGAAAGGGACTGAGGGCAGAGCAGAGAGCAAGAATCAATAGGGCTTTACACATCTCTCTTTAGGATAGGCCCACACTGAATGTACCTGTTATAACACCTTAGTAGCTGCAGAGGAAGTGAACTTAGAAATGTCAGAGGAGTGGGTCCTAGGTTGTCCCAGGACCCTATGAGTTTTCTGTAAGTTGGGGAGCCAGCAGATAGACTCACTCATAGACACTTTTATTGTCCTCAGATCTTCCTTCCTCAAAAGTTCCCGAATTTTCCATCAAGGACAGTTTGGGGGATGAGATGCTGGCAGCTGCACTCCTAAAAGCCAAGTCTCAGGTAAGCTGTGGTCCCCTTATCTTTTTCTTTCCCATTTTGTGGACATTTTTGGTATAGCAACATCCCATTCAATGCCCCAGCCACAATTCACTCCATCAGGACTGTGGTCCTTTCCTGCTGAGTAAGACTTTCTTGGACTCTCATATCTCTTCACCCTAATCACCTTTCCCCAGATTCCCAGATATTACTCAACCCTATCCCAATTTTCATTTTCATTTTTGGTGCTGCCAGTCCTATCCTCACCCTGAAATTTCATGCAGGAATGTGTTGTTTCAGGAGTTGGTGACATTTGAAGATGTGGCTGTATACTTTATCCGGAAGGAGTGGAAACGTTTGGAGCCTGCTCAGAGGGATCTCTATAGAGATGTGATGCTGGAGAATTATGGGAATGTGTTCTCTTTGGGTAAGGAGTTATGCTTCCTCAATAAAACTCCCTTGGCATTTCTTTGCTTCCTTATTTGGTAGTAACATTTTTTTTTAAATATATTGTTTTTTTTTGTTTGTTTGTTTTTTTACAGAGAAGAAGGGAGAGAGATAGAGAGCTAGAAACGTCGATGAGAGAGAAACATCGACCAGCTGCCTCTTGCACACCCCCTACCGGAGATGTGCCCGCAGCCAATGTACATGCCCCTGACCGGAATCGAACCTGAGACCTTTCAGTCCGGCTAGTAACATTTGAGTTGATGAAAATAACTAAGGACTGACTTAGTCTCAGAAAATTCTAACAGTAATAGTAACCCCTTTTGTATAGTACTTTGCAGTTTATAAAGAGGTTTCACATATATATTCTCATTTAATCCTCATAGTAACGGCAGTGGAAGTAGCAAGAATTAGTCTCACTTTATAGGTGAGGAAAGAGAGGTCAGAGGTCTTAAAATGTTTTACACATCATCTGATAGCTGGTTGGTGGCAGCTCAAGTCTTGGTCTTTTAAGTCCAAATATGATGCTTTTTCCTATGCTATTCTTAGAATTTAACATATAATCCAGAGACTTTACCAAAAGATTAACAAATTGGGGTCCCTGAACATGTGAAGTACTGGCCTGTGCCCATGTGAACATTCTGGAACTCTGTGTATTTGGAACTCTGTCTCCTCCCTTCTTTGTTGGACTGCCTCTAGGGATTTGTTGCTTTGTTCATGATCTAATGCAACTGCTGCTCTGGTAGAAATTTTAATTTGGTGTAGGGAGCAATTCTCTCTTTAACCTTTAGTCTGTAGACTGTTAATTCCTTGTCTCTTTCCTATTTTCAGTGAAAACTTTTTCCTGAGCAGTGCCAGGTCTTCCTAACTCCTATTTGAGACCTCCTTGGCATTTCCTTTCTGTAACCTGCAGATCCTCAGTTAGGGATTGAGCTCTGGGCCTGCTTGATAATGAGCAGGATAAAGCCTTGTCCCATGTTTTTTCCGATGAGCAGGATTCCCATTTCTGTGTGTGTTTTTTGTATGTTTTAAAATCTTCATCAGAGTAATGATGATTTTTCCCCATTGACTTTTTTTTTTTTTAGAGTATATAGAAGGGAGGGGTGAGGGGAAGAGAGGGAAAGAGGAGAGAGGGAGAGAAACAGCGATGTGAGAGAGACACATTGATTGGTTGCTTCCCGAACACATCCTGATTGGGGCCAGGGATTGAACCTGCAACCCAGGTATGTGCCCTTGGCTGGGCATCAAACCCAAGATCCTCTGGTATACCAACCAGGGTTCCCGTTTCTGTATTTTGACATGATATCTAGACTGAGGAAGAGCTGAGGGTCCTAGGTTTGAAGGGAATTAAGAAGAGAGATTCTGAAAGGTACCTGTTCAAGTGAGGGATAAATATCTATTTCTGGACCTAACACTTTTTTATTGACAGCCTAAAAATGTTAACACCTAGACCCTTTATAAATGTGAAGTTCCCTTTAGAAACAATCTTAAGACAGTGAAAATAGAGAAATCATAAATGGAAATTGTTTACATATTCTCACATCATAGCATAGTCTTCTAGGCCTAAGGCTCACAAATGGACTTTGCCTATTTCCTGAATTTGACATACATGGCACAGCTACAAACAACTATTCTTTTCCCGTAGGGCAGTGGTCGGCAAACTGTGCCTTGTGAGCTGTGGTTTGCCGCTTTGTTGACTAATGAGTTTGCTGACCACTGGGATAGGGGCTTAATCACAAGGAACAACAACACCCTGCAATTATTGGAATCGAGAGTCTAGGTTAGTGGTCGGCAAACTCATTAGTGAACAGAGTGGCAAACCATGGCTCCGAGCCGGAGTTTGCCGACAACTGACCTAGGGCTGTAGGAGATTACTAATGATTTCAACTTTGGTGTTCCTTCCTGCTCTGCTACTATATCTCAACACCTTTTCTTAAACAGTTCTGGTAGTCACCATTTCCCAAATTATATCTACAGTCTTTAACCTCTCCGAAGACTTGCTCACTTCATTAAACATGTTCTTCCCTGCCTCTGCCTGATCCATTCTCTCTTTACAATCCAATTTTCTCTATACTTCTAGCTGGTATCTCAGTTTTGCTTCCTACCTTTTTCCTTTCCCGTTTCCTCTTCTTTTATTTTGCTTTACTATACAGCCTGGGCAGGTAAGAGGCATGCCCATGATTATCCTGTCCTCTGGTTTTGATTTTTCCACAAGGAACCAGTGATATTTGTATTTTGTATTGTGCCAGATGGTGAGACCAGAACTGAGCATGGCCAAGAAATTTCTGAAGATACAGAATCACATGGGGTGCTATTGGGAAGATTCCAAAAGGATATTTCTCAGGGTCTTAAGTTTGAAGAAGCCTATGAAAAAGAAGTCAGTCTCAACAGGCAGCTGGGGAACTCTTCTGGAGAAAAACTGCATAGGAAGATACAAGATTTTGGTCAAGTAACAGTTGAGGAAAAGCTAACCCCTGTGATAGAGAGAAGTGAGAAATATGATTTTGGGAACAGCTTCACTGTGAGTTCCAACCTTATTTCACATCAGAGACTTCCTGTGGGAGACAGACCCCATAAATGTGATGAATGTAGCAAGAGCTTTAATCGAACTTCAGACCTTATTCAACATCAGAGAATTCACACTGGGGAAAAACCCTATGAATGTAATGAATGTGGGAAAGCTTTTAGCCAGAGCTCCCATCTGATTCAGCATCAGAGAATCCACACTGGAGAGAAACCTTATGAATGTAATGATTGTGGGAAGACCTTCAGTTGTAGCTCTGCTCTCATTCTACATAGAAGGATCCACACTGGCGAGAAACCTTATGAATGTAACGAGTGTGGAAAAACGTTTAGCTGGAGCTCCACCCTTACTCATCATCAGAGAATCCACACTGGAGAGAAACCATATGCTTGTAATGAATGTGGAAAAGCCTTCAGTAGAAGCTCTACCCTCATTCATCACCAGAGAATCCACACTGGAGAGAAGCCCTATGAATGTAATGAATGTGGGAAGGCCTTCAGCCAGAGCTCACACCTCTACCAGCACCAGAGAATCCACACTGGAGAGAAGCCCTATGAATGTATGGAATGTGGAGGAAAGTTTACCTATAGTTCAGGCCTTATTCAGCATCAAAGAATTCACACAGGGGAGAATCCCTATGAATGTAATGAGTGTGGGAAAGCCTTTAGGTATAGTTCAGCTCTTGTTCGCCACCAGAGAATTCACACTGGAGAGAAGCCTTTGAATGTAATAGGAATGAGCAAAAGTTCTCTGAGAGTTACTGCTGAATTAAATATCAGAGAGTCTACATGAAAGAGAACCACACACCTGTTTTTCTCACTTCCTGAGTCTGAAGACCCCCTGCCTTACTATAAAAGTATGAACAATTTAGGATGTGACCCTTCTGATGCAAATCTTTCACTTTAGAGAATGGGGAAAATTGGGCAAATCATCCTGGCACAGTGATTAGCAACCTGGTCAGTTTCCTCAGGAACAATACCAGCCTTAAAAAATTAGGAGGCAAGCAGCAGATTAAGTGCTGGAAATAGAGGGAAGCTCTGGGACCAATCATCTTCCATTATGGAAGAGAGTTTGCACTAGATCATATTTCTCACATCGTGGGAGCCTTTCTTACCAAGGTGAGGGTGGAAGCACAATAGGAGTAAAATTCTAAGGATTCCTCTAGTTGGAGTTGGTATACTCAGTGCAGGTGGCAGTGGAAAGAATGTTCTGGGTCCTGTTACTTGCTAAGAAAGGGAAAAGGAATTTCAAATGTGTTGAAGTAACTAACAAGCTGTTAACAAAAGGAAGGGGAAAGGATGCTGTATGTGGAAGCCACTGTTCCTCATCCTGCTTTAAGTTTTGATAAGGAAATAGGGTGATGAGGGATTTGTTATTTGAGGGTGAGTAGTTTCTGAAAGTATTCTGGCAATTTTGTTGGAGAACCCAGGACTAATTGGGAAGTACAGCTAATCCATGAGTCTAATATGAGGAAATAGATGAAAAGAATTTAGGATTAGTCTTTTATTTCCTCTTCTCTCCCTTTTTTTCTCACCACTCCTGTGATAAAAAGTTATTTAATTCAAACCCTAGTGACTTAAGAATGCTTTTAAGGAGCTTGTTTAGCCAGCTTGCTGTGCCCTCTGTCACCTATGACCTATCACATCTGGCCCTAGCAGCCAAACTTCTGACCCCACCTCTGACCTCAACAGCAGAGTATGAATGCAAACAGCAAAGCCCAGAGAAGGAAAGCTCTGGCCTGTGCCTGATGGCAGGGCTCTTTGCTGGGTTAAGATGGAGCTCCTGAATTTACCAGCTGAAGGGATGACCTCATTATGTTTTCCCAGTCCTGCTCATCCTGTAGCATAAATGAAGTGCACTATTAAACAGAATAGTTTTTTCAGAAGAAGGGCTTGAGTGTGTTCTTGTGTAGAGGCCAAGTTTATTTTAATTTAAACAGTGACTATAAATGGAATCTTTAAAAATTAACCTTAAAAATATTTTTACAGCCAACCATTTCTCTTAGTCACAAATATGTGACCTCTTTCCCTCAAGATTCCCATTATATTCCTCTAGATACTACAGACTAGTCCATCATTTATACAATCTCTCCTACTTTTATATTCACATACAGGTTTTTTTGTGCTGCATATCATTCTGTGTGGTATGATACTAAAATCAGCTAAAACTAGGAAGGTTACTGGGTATGGGATCCCTGATAAGAGCTTACTTGAATGTTGGGTAGCAATGGGCATTTAGATTATTTTAAGTTTATTGTTGAAAGAATTGCAGATGCTCCCTTTATTTCCCCCCATTGACCTCTTCCTCACTCCTTCCTCCCCAAGCCTTCACTGCACTATTATTTTCATTGGTTTTGCATATATGCATATAAGTTCTTTGGGTTAATCCCTTCCCACTCCATCCCCCCTCTCCCCATTCTGTCTGCGAATTCTCACTCTGTTGGATGCTAACAAAAAAGTCTGATGGAGAAGATGAGGAAATGTCTAGAACTCTAGCCCCTGAAAAATTTTGGATTATGTATTATGATCACCTAATGTGTTTTAAATTTCTTTAAAAAAAAAAAAAATATATATATATATATATATATATATATATATATATATATATATATATATATATATATATATATTGATTTCAGAGAGTAAGAGAGAGAGAGAAACATCAATGATGAGAATCATTTTTCAGCTGCCTCCTGCATGCCCTGACTGGGAATTGAACCATTATGTTCTGATTCATAGGTCAGTCCTCAACCACTGAGCCACACACTGCACTAATTCCTTTTTATTTTAGAGGAAGGGAGAGACATCAATTAGCTGCCTCCTGCATGCTCCCTACTGGGGATAAAGCCCACAACTTGGCATGTGCCCTGAACTGGAGTTCAACCAGTAATCTTTTGGTTCATGGACGACACCCAGTCAACTGAGCCACACTGGCCTGGGTGTGTTTTTAAATGAAACTCTTGACTCATCTCTGACATTCATCATATACTTGTAGATTGTTTCTTAAAGTGTAGACTAGAGAAATGAACTAGAATCACTAGGCTGCTTATTAGTAGTACATATTCTAAATCCCAAGTCAGACAAAATTATTCCTGAGAGTAGAACTCAAATATCTATATTGAAAAATAAAAAATAATGGAATAGAGAAAATTCCTAGGAAAAGATAAACTTGAGCTAGGTCTTATAGATAATATGTGGTAAATAAGAAGAGGTTCTAGGCAGGATGGTTGGGGGTGGGCCTGAGTATGGCCACTTACTCTGGGAAAGACCCCTAAACAGGAAGGGTCAGCCCCTTCTCTGCCCAGATGCTGGCCCTTCACCTCCCATAAGACTTCATGACTCAGACCCTCTCAGTGGGACCTGAGACTGTTTGCGGGCCATTACATGAAAAATGTTTTTTGAAAAGGTCTCAAACAATTTTCATAACATTTTATTCACCTCATTTCCCTGATTATTCCTATTCCCATCAATTCCTCTTAATCCCTAACTGAGCAGTCTTTAATGTATTTGATACTCGAGTCTCAGTGAATCTGTTTATTTCCAAGGCCTCCACTATTCAATGCAAGTAAGTTTTAAATCTGCATTTGTGGTACTGATCTTTCCCAAACTCCAGTCTTGGGTCTCCAGCAAACTGCAGGGCATTTACACTTGGATCTTTTATTTATTTTATATATATTTTTTTATTGATTTTTTTACAGAGTGGAAGGGAGAGAGAGAGTTAGAAACATTGATAAGAGAGAAACATCTACCAGCTGTCTCCTGCACACCCTCTACTGGGGATGTGCCCGCAACCAATGTACATGCCCTTGATCAGAATCGAACCTGGGACCTTTCAGTCCTCAGACCGGCACTCTATCCACTGAGCCAAACCAGTTTCGGCTACACTTGGATCTTTTAAAAGTTTCAAATAATGTGTTTCAAGTCAGTTATGTCTTCCCCATCAATGCCCCCTCTCAAAATTTCTGAGTATTTTAAAATATATATTTGTATTGATTTCAGAGAGGGAGAGAGAGAAACATCAATGATAAGAGAATCATTGATTGGCTGCTTCCTGCACACCCCCTATTGGGGATGGAGCCCACAACCTGGGCATATGCCCTTGACCGTAATCAAATCCTGGACCCTTTAGTCCACAGGCTGACACTATCCATTGAGCCAAACCAGCTAGGGCACTTGTACATTTTAAGTTATTTGTATCCTACATCTAACCAACATCAATCCTGTGCAGGCTCAGTGAGCATGCAATGGGAAGATGAATTATCAGAGGGGAAGTTTTTAGAGTTGAGATCATGGAGGAAGTGGGATTTCCAAGTGATGACACATGCATGTACTCTATCTGGCCTCTTTCCAAATGTTTTTCATGTATTAAATCATTTAATACTCACTATGACCTGTGTGTAAGGCAGTTGTTAATATAATCCCATTTTACAGACAAGGAAACAATTGGAGATACAACAATGAGATCAGGAAAAAACAACAACGAGATCAGGGTTCTACTTAGTGGAGGCTGGGCCCCAAGTAGATGGCTTGGATGTGAGATGGGGAGGCATCCACCTCTGAAGAATCTTATCTAGGCAATAATATTGTCCTGTCAATTATGGTTCTACAAACTATAGTTCATCCTCTTCATTTCCATTGCTGTTAAGTTGAGTTCAGGACAGGTCTTCATTCCCCCCTGAATCATATAGTCTAATGGATTGATATCTTCATTTTCTCTCACTACATAGCACTCCCTAAAGCACTATACCCAGTTTGTCACTTCTTTATCACAATGTTTCAGTGGCCTATTCTCTTATAGAATAAAATTCAAACTCCTTAACTGTATGTAGTCAAGGCTTTTCTTGAGCTGGTTGCCACATAAATGTCTGGCCTTAACTTTTTTTTTTTTTTTTTTTTTAATATATATTCATTTTTTGCAGAGAGGAAAGGAGAGGGATAGAGAGCTAGAAATGTCGATGAGAGAGAAACATCGACCAGCTGCCTCCTGCACGCCCCCCACTGGGGATGTGCCCGCAACCAATGTACATGCCCTTGACCGGAATCGAACCCGGGACCTTCCAGTCTGCAGACCGATCCTCTATCCACTGAGCCAAACCGGTTTCAGCTGGCCTTAACTCTTAGTGCTCTTCTTCACACATCTGAAAATCAAATGTGTGAAAAGCCAGAGCTGGCAGTCAGAGCAGTAAAAGCAGGTTTTATTCAGAACTGTTGCAGGGGGAAAGAGACCTCAGAAAGAATTGGGCTCTGCCCATCCAGGTGGCTCGGTTAGAGCATCATCCTGTGCATCAAAAGGTTCGATCCTTATTCAGGGCAAGTAGGAGAGGTACCCAATCAATGTTTCTCTCCTGCCCCCGATTCCTTTAACCAATTAGAAAAAAGGCACAAATACATGTCCTCGGGTGAAGATAAAAAACAACAAAAGAATTGGTCTAATTCTGAATACAGCGTGGCCAAGTGGGAATTTATAGCTAAGGAGTAGGGTGGGGATCAGTGGATGAAAATTTTCTAAGAGGAAAAACATTCATGGATTCTAGGGGTTTGGGCTAAACTGAACTAATAGGATCCTTGCTGAAGACAGGCCAGGATGATTAGATGTTGCTATGAAGTGATGCTGGAGGATGGAGGACTTGCTAAAGTGGATGTAGAAAGTTCAGGATTCTGAGTAAGATTTAGTCAAGCAGCCATAACCGGTTTGGCTCAGTGGATAGAGCGTCAGCCTGCGAACTGAAAGGTCCCAGGTTCAATTCTAATCAAGGGCATGTACCTGAGTTGCAGGCACATCTCCGGTGGGAG